ATTGAATACTTCTAATAACGAAATACATACATACTTCTGACGAAACGAAGTAATTTTATGACATTTTTTAGATTATTGGCGTGGCGATCGGTGTTAAACGCTGTCCTCTAGAACTTAAAATTCGCATACAGTCCAAAAAAATCGTAACCGTCTGAGAAAAATGAAAAATAGAAAAATATTTCATTGAAATATATAACATCTTTTTATCAGCTGGCTGGGAAAATGCCTAAGAGAACTAAAAAACGAGTGAACCAAAAGTGCAAGCATATAATAATTCTCGAGAAAAACTACCAAAAATTCGAAAATAAATATAATATATAATAATAAATATAATAATATAATATAATAAAATTATAATAATATAATAATGACAATATAATATTAATAATATAATATAATAAAATTATAATAATATAATAATGACAATGTAATATTAATAATATAATATAATAAAATTATAATAATATAATAATAACAATATAATATAATAAAATTATAATAATATAATAATGACAATATAATATTAATAATAAACTATAATAAAATTATAATAATATAATAATAACAATATAATATTAATAATATAATATAATAAAATTATAATAATATAATAATGACAATATAATATTAATAATATAATATAATAAAATTATAATAATATAATAATGACAATATAACATTAATAATATAATATAATAAAATTATAATAATATAATAATGACAATATAATATCAATAATATAATATAATAAAATTATAACAGTACAATAATAAATAAAAAGAAATCGATTGTATCCGAACAAGTCGCGAATGCAACCGAGCGGAACAAAAAGAAAAAGTGAGAGAGACCAATCTGTATGATCTGTGTCAGAAATGTCGTCGTTTGTCCCTCGCCGAGCAAAGATACAAGAGCTTGGGGGTTGCAGGTGGCACGTGTACAGCGGCGGACTCGCATAATTCCCCGGAGATGTTATCGAACTTAACGAGCGCATCTACCAGAAAATCAACTGCGGCATTGGCGATCGTCCTAGATCACCGGGCACGACCTTAATTTGCCACTTAAGCCACGATGTGAACGCGTGATAAGAAGACGGCCACCTGAGAGTGTATTAACGCGCCCCCCGTGCCTTCCTTCGAGATTACGATCGACCATGTACACACATACATACATGCATATACATATCGCGCGGCCCTCCGCCGCGCTGCTTTGTTTTCGGCAGCGAGAAAGTTTTCGACGGTTGACGCGGCTGACCGTTGTCGACGTCGACGAACCATTATTACCTTCTTATCGTTGCGATTGCGTACTTTCCGCCATCGTGTCGACCGGAGAAAATTACACGGCGGCGAGACGAAAGCCGCCGATGAAGCGAAATCGGCGGGCATTCTCTTGTTACTTGTCGCGGAAATTGCGCCGCGATGTGTCACACGATCGCGACGACCACCTAGGGAAATTAATTAATTTTAGAGGAGTTTAGAAGATTCGGAGGACATTTGAAAGTTTGCGGAAATGTACAGTAATGGAGATACGTTTATTCGAGCCTTGCGCTTTATTTTTGCAGTTATAAATTGTCCACAATTATAAAAACGAGCCGCATGGCTCGAGTAATCGTGTCCCCTCCTCCCAAATTGTCAACTTTTGTACGCAATTTCAGCGTCAATTAGGGAGAATTTACTGTACATACATATTTCGTACGACGGAATACAGTAATGTCTCTCTAATTGACGCTCAGATTGTCCACAGAAATAGACAATTTGGGAAGAGGGGACACGTTTATTCGAGCCTTGCGCTTTATTTTTATAGTTACAATACTTTACAAATTCTAAATAAATTCGGTCTTCTCACTTTTGCGAAGCAATACATGCCAGTTAGTATTACTGCTTGGTAGATTTAGTGTTAAAGAACTGTTTAGTGTGTAACTGTTGCATGAGTTGCGAGACTCAATTTCGCGTGCATAAAATGCAGTAAGTTGTATAAGGTAAATCCTTGCTAATTGACGCTCAGATTGTACACAAAAATTGTCCACAATTATAAAAACGAGCCGCATGGCTCGAATAATCGTATCTCCTCTTCCCAAATTGTCCATTTCTCTCTACACTCTGAGCGTCAGTAAGGGTGACATTACTGTACTTCGTACGGTGACGATATAGTTTACGTTATTATTAGTGTATTATTATTTATTAGTGTGTTATTATTAGTGTACGTTATAGTTTAATTTTTAATTCGTGATATTTTGTTCTTTGGCCGAATGCGTCGATGAAGAGAAGCGAATGCAGATTTCGCCCATCCACGAGCATATAACTTAATTATTAATTTAAATCCTTAATCTTTAATCTTTAATCTTGAACCCTTAATCTTTAATCTTTAATCCTTAATCCTTCATGCTTAATCTCCAGAACTCGGTGATCGTTAAATCCAACGCTTATCACAGTTCCGCATAGAAAAATATGGATGAAAGTCGACCCTGCATCGAAACTAAAGGAGATTATTCTGATACTATTGATCAAATAAGAAGAAACTGTTGTCGTGCAATATATAAAGGAAATATCTCTGCGCACGAATGCACATTTCTTGCCGATAAAATCTCATGCAGATTCACATTTCTTTAAAATTTAAATACGGAATATCCCCTCGCGATATTTATTTCACAAATCAACTGAAATCGCATCGACGACAAGAACTCGAACTTTGTCCAGATCGCATTGCACGAATAATATGAAAAATCAAATCGGGGTATCCTTCTTAATTCGATAAAATACCATTTATTATACCGTTACAAGCTATATACGAATAAGCGAAGACAATTCAGAGGATTATTTGGATCAGATCATGAATCATTATCTGGATTGAATCGAGTGAACGCTAAGCTCGATTAACAGTCTAATCGCCAGCTCTGCGATTTTTATTTACCAGCGCGGTTCCAGTTGAACGTTCATCAGTCGTCATTAATTTCCTGCCGATATTGCTCCGCAAAAAAAAACCCAAATCGCCTTCCGAAAGGTTGAATCGCCAGTCGGAGCTTTTCATTACCCCGGTTCTGGTTTTCTCGCGATCCTCTATCGACGCAGCCGACAACTATTTTTCAGCGCTTCTCGATGAAAAAGATGAATCGGGCCGCGGCAACGTACACAGCCGAGAAAAAGAAGAGCTTTGCGAAACCGATCGATCTTCTCTTGTGACTAATTGCAACAACCGAGGCCGGCAACAGTAACACATTCGATCGTAGCCGCGTACACGATGAGAAAAAAAAACGAACGGGACAAGTGAATAGGCTCGAACCTGGTTAAATCCAAGCGAAGCCTTACAAATTACTGGAAACATTCGACGCGAGTCCAGCGAGCTTATTTTTAAGATTAAATTACGCGCATAATTACTGTTAATATTCACCTGCGATCTTATATTTTTGTAGATTACGGAACGCACGTGAATTTTCTTCCGCATTATTTGAAAAGTAGAGCTTATTTCGAGACGAAGTTGAATTAAAATTATCTTATACATGAGATTACATTTTGGAGAATTAAAAGATTGTTGGAAATTACAAGCGTTAAAAATCACTCACAGTCTTTTAAAATAATCGTAAAATGTTCAAGAATCTGTTGATTACCAGAATGATTGCATCTACATATTTAACATTACAATTTATTTTTATTTAATTTAATTTAATAATAATAATATAATAATAATATAATATATAATTATATATAATAATAATAATAATAATAATAATAATATAATTTATTTTAATTTAATTCTATCTAAAAGAATAGCTGCATAACACAACAATATAGAACCCAGAGGCTAAATAAAAGAAAATTTGTAAATGGTGGAGTTTGACGCACAAACTGGATTAAAAAATGGGCATTTACTTATTTGCTAATAAATTGAAAATAATGTGTAATGATACTGCATCTGCCACCTACAGTCTTCCAGCTGTATTTTTATGAAATTTATTATCACAGCTGTTAGTAAGAATCGAGTATTCAACATACTTTATTCGTATGAAGAAATTATCTATATGTAAGAATCGAGTATGTATTCGATACTGTAGCACCCCAGACAAGACCTCGCTGTGACGATCTATACATCGATCCATTTTTGAGTGACCTATACCTCGTCTGTGATAACACAAATTACACGTGCATAGCAAGAATTAAGTATGTATTCTGTAGAAGGCGCATGCTTGTTACATTCGGTTGCTACATTGCAAGATTCACTTAAAAAATAATTTAGTTACATTCCATTCATAAGAAGGTAATTATAAGTACTCCTATAAACATGATTATTATTCTAATGCATTTATAAACTAAACTATAACATTACTTTATGATTTTTGAAATATACTTTTTGAATAAATTTCCAATCCAATTGACATAACCTGAACAAGTTATCTGGCTAAAAACCAGGATATTAATATATATGTTACAATTTAATACGACATTGATCGATGATTATTTAAATATATATATATAGTGACATAACAAGTAGCATAAATTCATAAAGTGAAATATAAAGTGAATAAGTATGGTATAAATTCTTTTAATTCGTGCACATTTTTGCGGTTTTTTAAAAAATAAAAGCATGCTTTTATTTTATGTTTTTCAGTTGAAGACAAATACGGATATAGCATTTGGAAGAAAATATTACGAAGATGTCTGCTGGTGAATGGCAAGATTAATACGTATTACATAATCTTTTATATCAAGCTCTTATTTTTTTTAAGTAATCATTTTATTTATAGATAACGATAGCGATGTGATGCCAAAGGTTGATTTCAAAAAGTTAAAACCTGTGGACCTTATGCATTTGAAACAAGCAGAACAGATAAATTTAGCAAGAGCTAGTAGACATAGGGAACTTCGTTGGAAAACAAGTCTACTTGGTATATCTCTAGCACTCGGAGTTATTGGTATTTATGTTTACACTATAAAATCAGTAAAGCAGGAAACATTCTTAGATGATTTTAACGAACCTGAAACTGTAATAGAAACACCTGTCCAAAAGCAATAGTAGTTTATAAAATAGAAGGGGGAAAGTTATTGCAACAGATGTAATGTAATCTATATTAAATAATTATAAATAAATTATACTGAATTCATGCTTATCACCAAAGTTCGTACATAAGCAAGGAGAAATGGCAACAGGTCTTAGATTTCCACCTCTTCCAACAATAAGAGATATGGTAAAACTGTACAAAGTATCTGCAATGAAGAAACTTTCACAAAATTTTATTTTAAATGAGGACTTGACAGACAAAATGGTGAAAAAGGCAGGAAATCTTGCTGAATCTTACGTATTAGAAGTTGGTCCAGGCCCTGGCGGATTAACTAGATCGATCTTAAGACAACATCCGAAAGAATTAATTGTTGTAGAAAAAGATACAAGATTTAAACCTATATTAGACATGTTAATTGACGCTTATGCAGCAGTTAATGGTAAAATGACTGTTATCTATGGGGATATCATGAGAACAGATTTAACTAACATGTTCCCCGAAGCTGTAGCAACAACTTGGGAAGAAAAAGCTCCAAAAATTCATATTATTGGTAATTTACCATTTAATGTATCTACACCTTTAATAATTAAATGGTTGCAAGCAATTAGTGAAAGGAAAGGTCCTTGGGCGTTAGGGAGGACTAGAATGACATTAACATTTCAAAAAGAAGTTGCTGAGCGTTTAATTGCTGAACCAACAGATATTCAACGATGTAGATTATCTGTAATGGCACAAGCTTGGACGCGTCCAGTATTACACTTTATTATACCAGGTACATTGATGTTCCTTGCGTACCCTTCAAAATTAATCTACACTTTACCTCTGCAGTATTTTCATTCGTCTCTTTTTTTTTCCTCTGAAATATTAAGGTACTGCCTTCCTTCCGAAACCAGACGTTGATGTTGGATTGGTAACGTTTGTACCTCTAGCTACTCCTCGTACAAATCACGAGTTTAAAATTTTTGAAAAAGTAACGCGGCATATCTTTAGTTTTCGTCAAAAATATAGTATACGTGGTATTGAGTAAGTGTGACAGATATAAAAATATTGCTAATTATATAGAATATTTTAAACATCTTTTAAAAAGTAAAACTAAACTTTTATATTTAATTCGTAGGACATTGTTTCCACTAAACTGTAGAGAAGAATTAGGTGCGATGATGTACAAACTTTCTGACATTGATCCTCATACAAGACCCATGCAATTAACAGTGGATAATATAGATAAACTTGTTAGCGCATATAAATATTTAGTAGAAAAACATCCAGAAGTAGGTTTATACGAATATCGAGCATCTCGACGACTATCATTTTCGCAGGTAACGAATGTCACAATTCAAGAATGTACAGATTTATGAATCGACTAATAAAATAAACTCTTGTTCTTTTCACAATGTACACTTCGCATTTTAATTTAAATATTCCTTTATTAATGTATGTAGAATATATCGAAAGAAATATTCACAAGCATACAAGTATATATAATTCAATTCATCCTTACTTTCATAATATCCTATTATGGTTATTTATAGATTTTCTAAAATGTTGCTGTAAGAATTTATGATCATTTATGTTGTTCATTGTTAATACATTGAAAAGCAATAAATGTAATAATTTACAAGTTTTGTGTATTTAATTTTATTCATGCTTACTATGTATATAAAGATAATGCGTAGTTGTAAAAGTAAATCCAAATCTGTAAATTTATTAATACTCGTACTGCTTGACCTTAGAATATATTTTGTTTCATCTGCTAGTCTCGTCACTGCACTAAACTGTTATTTTAGTTATTGCCTTAGAATGTTGACGAAAATAAATCGCATTAAAACCTTTAATGGTTTTCTTCAATATTTTTGCAACGACTTAATTGCGTACGCTTTTACTTTCTCGAGGTAATAAATTGTTGAACAGTTAACGAATATAATAAAAAATTGCGAACTATGCTTTTAATCATTAAAAATAAAAAATTATGATTACATTAAAGTACATTGAACGTTGAAAGTAAAGTGAAAGTAATTTGCACGAGACCAGCTCTTTATATATACAATATGAATAAATATATTGTTCGCAGATAAAATGTAAATAACAATATACAAGGCAGTATATTCGAAACTAGTAGTGAAAACGTGAATAATATGGTGATGTCAGTACAGGTAAATGAAGACACACAGCAAGGGAAAAAGTTTGAACAGAATATTTGGATCACTCTTCTAAATCTATGTCTTCTAGTTCATCCTCTAAGCCTCTCAAATCTTCTTCAAGGAATAGATTTTCATTAATTGCTAATGCAGCTGCACCTTCACCTAAAGTAACTATTATAAAAACATTAATATCTCTAGTAGTTAGAATGTTATTCTGAAATAATAAATATTGAATATCTACCTGTTGAATTTTCACCATCTGCGAGTTCATTATTTTTTAATCGATCTACACTGGCCACAGTTATTCCAGTACTATCAATCTCACTCGCTTCAAAACCTAGCCTGTCCATGTCGAGCTCTCTGTATTCAATTCTTTCTTCATCTTCTTCTTCTTCACGAACATAACTCGATATTGCTTCGTCTCCATCATCGATTCCTGTAGAACATTTTGAAAAGAAATTTTTAAACAAATCTTTTAAATTTCAAGAATGTGTCGTGTAAAATAAAACTAAACGTACCATCCCCGACTGCCAAATCGGGATTGAAGTAGAACATTTCTCTACCAGAAATACCAACTTGACGACCAGCTTTATAATCATTTCGCCTTCTTTCTTCATCCTTAATAGCTTGCTCTTTCTTCTCCTTTAACTTTCGTTTCTTCCAAGCCAAAAATGTCTCTAATGTGATTTTAGTCTGTTAAAATATAAAATGTATTAATATATATTCCTCATGTTCTCCTATATGAAGTTTCTCATAAATTAAAGAAACATTCTCATACTTGATTTGGCCCCAAGTTGGCACGTTCCTTTTCAATTAAATCTTCTAAAGAAATTTCATCCTTTTTATCCTCTTTTTTCTTATCTTTTTTCAGTACAAAACCAGGAGGTAGTGCATGTCTGTAGATACATTTCTGTCCCGATGGACATTCCCAAAACCATCCGTATTTCGACTTTTCTACTGCTTCCAGAAAATGTTTACAAATCTAAAATTCAGATAGTATCGTTCGTTTGTATCACTTACAAAAGATAGATGTCTGCATTTTGTAAATGCTGTACTAACAATATCGGTAGTTGGACGATTACCACCACCATGTTTCTTTTCTACAACTTCTTTCAACTTATCTTCATCCCACTTATCCATAGTATCAGTTTCTTTATCGTCATCTCTCATATCACAATACAATGAACGTTTTTCAGCTTTTCTTTCTACACTTAAATCGTGTGAAAACTTGCACTTGTCTCCTTTTGTACATTGTCCTTGCTTGAAGAATGCGCATACTACCGATTTGGGATCAATTCCTACAAATATAAATAATTTATTATTTATAATTTGTATAGGTACAGAAACGAAGGCTACGCAAGCATTAATGAATGACATAACTAATGCGGAATTACCTATGTCACAACTTATTTATATCGGTAAGAATAGTGTTGCATATATGTTAATAATATTACATCTATATATCGTTATTTGATTTTACATCTTTGCGGTAATCTTAGTCTATGTAATACCTTTATCTATCTTTTGTGCTTGGACAGGCTTAAATATGAGAGCTAATTCTTTCTGCTCCTTCAATTTCTTCTCTTTTTCAAGTTTTTTAACATTAGGATCATCTAATTTTCGTGGATTTACACCACCTGATTTTACCTGTTTCTCTACTTGCTGAATAAACTTTTGTTGTTTAGCACCTTTTTTATTTTTTATACCAAAAGTTTTATCCTACAAAAGAGAAAACTGTCATACGGGAAATATTACCCATACATGTACACGTGCAGGTATATTCAAAATATGGAATGCATTTTAGGTTAACAACACAATTATTGTGTCCAAATACCTCAATAACTTTCTCCTTTTTCTTCTGGTCCGCTTTTTTGCTGGGAGCAGGTGCCTTTTTGGGTGGCATTTCATTCACTTTTTAGTGCATAAAAGAGTTCAATGCAGAAAATATGACAACAAAATTTATAAATTCACAGCAATCTCACTTCCATTCGTGGAGCAATCGGGTACCCAATTGGCAACTGTGAATATAACACCCGTGTGAAGTTGGCTCATCATATTAACCAATATTAACATAACTCAAAAAATCGCTTTTTAATTGCCCATAATTGCTCACCAATTAGTTACAATTGCTTACTTATCCTTTTCAAGAAATATCAAAAAAAATTTGAGACGCCTAGTGACTTTTATGAGAAACTGGGGACTTTTAAAAATACGAAAATTCTGAAATAATGCATTGGTCGTCGGTGTGACTCATTCTCTATGGTTGCGCTGGTGTCATGCTCTCTTGCTCACTCGCCATTTCCTCTCTTTGTCTAAAACTGTGAGGGCAGCACTGCTTAACCGTAAAGCGTCAACCAATCAGAGGAGAAGCAGTTTCCCTACCTGCTTCATAATTCTAAGCCAGTTGCCCCCCACTTTGGCTTACCGTGGCGAAGCACCGTTACTGAGATACCCCCATCACTGACTTCGATGAACTTTGATCGCTGTGATCAATGACGTGGATTATTAAATCGATTTTCTCTCATTAATAAATTTATTATTTCTGAATTTATTATTAAAAAGCCAGCTTCACACGGATGAATATAACGTATGTATAACAATGGATGTCTTCATGACTAGATTATGATTCCAAAGATTTCAACAGCAACATTCTATGCACCAGCTGTATTCTATGGTTAGACCGTATCGAACTGGACAAGAAACTAAACAATGCTAGGAGTTTTGTTCTGGTGATATTTTCGATTGTTAACCGAGAGAGGAATTGCGAATTGTTCACACATGTGTTGCGTGCTGACATAACATGTGTGTCGTATCGTGGTATGGTGAATTGAAAGTGTTTTTTTGCAATTCGTAGTTTAGTTATCTTTTGATGGCAGTGTTTACGTGCCGCGTGGTGCCAACGTCACTGTAAATATGAGTGGTGCATCACGTCAAGTCAAAAATCCGTTGCTGTCAGCAGCCGGTGGCTTTTCTTTAGAAAATTATGCAGAAAATGCGTTGCTGGTTCCAGTTACACCTACTGCATCTGCCGTGCTCCAAGATGGTGAGTTAATTAACGAAACACCTGGGTGGGGCTTTCGCAGGTTCATATGTTCGTAATCTTGTCTGCACGTGACGGTGTGCGTGTGACAGTTATCAGATATGTGTTAACGAAAGATACAATTTGATTGTGTTCGTTCATTATTTATTTTTTTATTCCATTTTTGACCGTTTGCGAGCATTGTTCTCCATTAATTAATCATTTCAACATAAATATTAGTCGTGTGTATGGGTTATAAGGACCAGTTCTTCGAGTGGACAATGTTAAGTTGTTTTCCACCAATTAACATAATCATGCTTACACTGCTATTTGTACTCGATGTGTATCAAATTATTATATTATAAAACTACATAATATAAAGTCGACACGGGTAGATATAATCAATCATTTCTTGTTTGTGAACTATTGGTATCTAAATAATGTTATGCGCTTCAATTAATAAACCTATATATACTACTATTAAATGCAACGCATATAATGAAGAATATATTTTTTATTTTGTAGTACACTCTCTTAAGATGTAATGTGCTTAGGATTAGAGAGAGTTAGCATATTTTACAAACATAATATTAATTACAGTACAAAATTTATGGACGAGTTCTTTTATGTACATTTCTTGATATATGCGATACAAAAACAATTTATGTCAATTTTCGCGAATATGCATATATTGCACATTTAAGTTTGTTTGGCTTAATAAAGTAAATAATAAATTATAAATTTGTTCTCTCAGCCTGTCCGGGTGGTCTAGATCCATATCTTTGTGAATAAGGCAAATCCAAACTTTTTCTCCTACGAATGCAACATATTATTAATATAATGATAAGAATAATGAGTAACAAAGCAAGCAACGCTCCCATAGAAATAGCTGCTACTTGTGCTTCAGTTAGATTATTCCACTCTGAAAAAACATAACGTATAAAATGTAAAACATCTTTTTAAGAGATTCTTCTTTGGTTAAGGAATACGTATACTTGTTTTACCAGTAACATCAATTGTAACAGTGTTATAATTGTCCAGTAAGTCCACTGCTGTTATTTTAGTTGTTGTGTCACAACAAGTAGCAGAGTAGAAAAACGTTACAAGAGTTCTTGTACCACTAATAAATTCTGTACGTGGGTAAACTTCGTTTGCTGATGAAATTATACGTTTCAAACCTATATTAAACATTTACATTGTTGCTTAAATTTTGATCACTATGTTATATTTTATATTTACTCGTATCGAAGTACGATCTATACCTGAATCGTAGTCCTGAATTCGAAGGTCCATGCTCCAACGAGTTTTGGAGCATTGGCTCTTATCCAATTTCCCAGCACAGTTGTTATTGAAAGTATACTCGATTTTTGGCTTCGCATCATCCGTTAACTGTGCATTAGAGATTATAAAATTAATAAAGTATTGTTCCTAAGAAACTTATTTTATTCTGCATTTATTATTACCTTTGATAGCGAACCCTGCACATATACGTATGCTGATTTTTCCTTTATTTCGGTACCTTGAATAGACAATGTAACAGTGCTGGCAGTATCGGGTGAAGTATTATCAGGTATAATTATATCTACCGCCACTTTGCTCATTTGGCCAGGATATATCCACGCACTGTAACAAATCATAAATAAACTTAGAGCAATGCAAATTTTAGACTACAAATTCACTTATCTCATTCGTTAATTATATTCCTGAAAGATTTTACCATAAACGAAATAATTTACAATTGCAGCAATCTAACGTAATAGATCCAGATAAAATCAAAAATCAAATGTAGGAGTTACATAAGTTACCAACTTACTACATCGGCACAACATTGTACAATCTGAACGGTGTACTCTTTGCTCTGAACCCGTATCTAACAGGAAGAACGCAATTATTCATTACATCGAAAACAACTCTGTGCACTGTTCCTGGCGCAGCTATCAAGTTAGAATTTCTATTCACTTCTATGAGCATCTTTCGCTCCTGGATAGTGTCCTCGTTATTGTAATTCACCAACTCTTCGAATAATTCTTGATTCTCCGAAGTTCCTACCATTTTCATATGCGAGTTACCATTGTTAATTTCCTTCCTGATATTGACATCAATATTTTCGGTCAATGGAATCGAGGATCTCGCACCAATTCCATGCTGCTGCTCCTAAATGAAAATTCGAATAAATTGGTGTAAAATTATCAAACCAATTTAATAGATTAATTTAATTCTCCAATGAAAATCGCGGAAAATCTTTAAAAAAGACTGGTTTTGTAAATTTTGAAAGAAATTAAAAGTTAATCGCTATATAGGGGTAGCTTTTTAGAGTGGTTTAAAAATTAATGGACCAATTATCCGCGTAGTAAAGATCACATGAAATTTTTATGGTAGTAACACATTGCAAATTGAAAAAGAAAATTTTACCCGTGTCGACAGTTTTTCATCAGTTATGTTCTCGTTATCGGTAAATATAGCGACGTCAATGTAGTTACTGTTTCTAGGGATAGAAGATCTCGGCGCATCATTTCCATTAACATTTTCCAGCGTCGTCTCGTTAGCGTGCTCCAAAGATCGTTCGCGCGTTACCTTCTCGTCACTGACCGATTTAGAATCGATTCTTACGTCTGAATCTTCTAATGCTCTTGTCTTCGCGTAGAATGCCTAGGACACATATTATTAGATTTTCTCGTGCACTTTAAACGACACTAATCACTCGAGCAATTGTTCACACACCCCGGCGTTTATACTTTCGTCCAACATTACGAAATCATCCTCCTTAGTTTTCGCTCGATATTCGGTGAATGGTAATCTGTTCACGGTGCCTGGAAAAAGAAAGCTCTGCTTAGATTCACGAACTCTCTGTAGCACTAATTAACCCTTCGCACTCGAGCGGTGAATCCGAGACACCGCTAAAATTGTTACACCATGCTCCAAGATAATTTTTACATTATCAAAGTTTAGATATATAAAATTGTTAAAAATTGTGACACCGTTGCACGAGTCACAAGACTTTTATGCACTCAAAATGCATAAAATGCACTTTGTAGTATAAAATGGATATACTATACATATACTATACTATACTATGGAAATGCTATAGGTTCCAAGATAATTTTTACATTATCAAAGTTTAGATATATAAAATTGTTAAAAATTGTGACACCGTTGCACGAGTCACAAGACTTTTATGCACTCAAAATGCATAAAATGCACTTTGTAGTATAAAATGGATATACTATACATATACTATACTATACTATGGAAATGCTATAGGTTCCAAGATAATTTTTACATTATCAAAGTTTAGATATATAAAATTGTTAAAAATTGTGACACCGTTGCACGAGTCACAAGACTTTTATGCACTCAAAATGCATAAAATGCACTTTGTAGTATAAAATGGATGTACTATACATATACTATACTATACTATGGAGATGCTATAGGTCAGAGAAATTGTTTTAGATTCACAGTTAAAAAAAAATGGCTCCGAGCGCAAAGAGTTAATAATCATTGTAAAATTTGCGCCAATTTCACAGGAATCCGTGGTTCTATTGTACCTTTATAAATAAGCAGACCTCAAAAGTGTTTTCGTTAGAATTTCTTAACATAACAATTTCTGCGACCTTCGAAGATCGCGCGTAAAATTCGAGATAAACAGATCCAAGAGAAAACATCGTGCGGCGTACATGGTCATTCATTGAACCAGAGAACGTGTAAACGGGATTGACGTGGGTGCACATAATGGTTCGCAGAAAGAATATCTGTTTATTGATTAGCAAAACTTCGTGCCGGACGCGCGTATTAATGATCACAATTAGTAAAGAAAGTTGTTGTTTCCACGAGGAAACGTTGCTGGGAAAATATTCCGCGAGATAACGAGCAGCTCGCAGGCATCGTAGATAAAACTGCATAACAGTCGCGGGGCAAGAAATCTCTGACCATAATCATCGAACATACATTAGCTCCAATATATTGTTCAAATTTCGGTGGATCGTATCGATCGCGTGGAATTAGAATTCGCAGTAATTTCCAGCCGATTCTCGGGGAAACAAATTTACAATTTGGAAAGTAACAATTTCCCGGTGTGCAGTGAATTCTCCCTGATTGACGCTCAGATTGTGCACAGAAGTGGACAATTTGGGAAGAGGAGATACGATTATTATACGATTATATATACATACAAAAATATATAAAAATATATAATTGATATAATCGAATATATATAAAATAAATAAAGATACATAATAATAAATATAATAATAAATAAAAACAAGCCGCAAGGCTCGAATAATTGTATCTGCATTTTTAC